TGATGGAGGCACAATATGCCTCCATCTACTCAGATCTCTTGTCAGCAGAGCACAGGGCAGCACTGTGCACAGCATCCTGTGATTCAGTATCTCCTCCCTCTACATGCAGACACTGAACTTTCCTCATAGAAATCCATTGATTCAATTCATCTCTATGAGGAGCTGATTGGCCAAGCCGGGTTTGAATCATGCTGGCTCTGCCCCTGATCTGCCTCTTTGTCAGTCTCAGCCAATCCTACGGGGAAGCACTGTGATTGGATCAGGCTACCACATGACAGTAGACTGCTTGTTTTTCTGAGTCTAACAGCATGCACCGTTACAGCTTCTGGCTTGAATACAGTAGGATTTTTACTATATTTATGGAGGCATGAGGGGCCCAGGGGGTCTAGATGGTGGTGTTAACACTATAGGGTCAGGAATACATGTTTGTGTTCCTGACCCTATAGTGATCATTTAATGTCTTCCTTGTGTAAGGCACCAAATGGAAATGTCAATGGGCAAGGATTCGTGGGTAATTAAGAGTTGAGAGAGAGGTCTCACGTCAATAGCCTCCACGGCCAGAGGTGATGATCTCTCCTTGCTAGGTATTAAGTGTTTTTTAACAAAATATATGCCAATTAAATTTCTAGCCACACCTGTATCCATCAGGGCCTTGCATGAAAAGTTATTTTTGTTACACATGACCATAACATCAAGGAGAAAACTACTTTGGTTATTACCGGAGGACATACCCATCACACCCTTAAGGTTCTTAGGTGCGGAAGCTTCCAGACGTATGAGACAAGTACTCCTCATATGTCCTTTTTTACCACAGTATAGACATAGACCCTCTCTTCTCCTATATTGTCTTTCTGCCTCAGACAATCTAACTGCATAGGTTTGGGTTTGGACTGTACAGGGAGGTCAGGAAGAATAGATCTGGAGAAATTAGGTGCTAATGACATAGCCATACGTCTGGTTCTAGTTCTGTTTCTAAGTCTATCAATTTGCATAACAAATGTGATAAAATCATTTAATTTGTTAGGAAGTTCTTTGGCAGCAATCTCATCCAGAATTGCCTTGGATAATCCTTTTTTAAATACAGAGATTAATTTACTATTAATCCAGTCTACCTCAGAAGCCAAGGTGCAAAATTCTATGGCATAATCCGAGATAGACCAGTTCCCTTGTTTGATATGCATTAGAGCAGTGGAGGCGTCATCCTTCTTGTCTAATGGTTCAAATGTTAATTTGAATTCCGCAAGGAATTCCTGGTAATTGTGTGCAAAACACCTATTACTCTCCCATAACGGATTGGCCCAAGCTAAAGCTTTACCTTTAAGTTGGTTCATTAGGTAACCAATCTTAGCTCTATCCGAGGGAAAAGATCCTGGTGAGGCCTCAAAGTGGTATTAAATTTGATTCAGGAATCCTCAGCATTGTTGAATATTACCATCAATATGCGGGGGAGGAGATAGGGAGATAGTAGGTGCCTTATGTGCTATAGGTGGAGGTCCATTAGGCGGAGGTGACAAAGTCGGAGAAACCTCAGGCTGAAGATGAGAAACCTCAGGCTGAAGGTAAGCAGCCTACTTAGAGCCTGGGCAAACTGATCCATATGGTGATCATTATCCTCTAGCTTTCTCTCGCAAGCTGCTACAGGATCTATGGCCCTGTTGTAATGTCAGGATTACTAGATGATCCAGCACGTAGAATTATATCACACCTAGGACTAAACGATAACGTCTTACCAGACCTTAGAGTGTCCGGACTTAATGTACCAGAGAACAGTCCGAATACTTGCTGAGGTCAGGGACACAGAAGGAGACACAATGATGAGGGAAAGCCAAAAGTCAAGGATACCAGAATACAAGGAAGTCAAAACAAAGCCAAAGTCAATAACCAGAAACAAACTATCAGGAACGCACTCTCGTGCAACCACTAAGGGAAATCATGTCATAGCAATGAGCTAAAGAAATAGATGAATTTAAATACCCCTCTTGTTGATCCGATTGGCCGTAACCGGCCTTTGACCCCACAACGTGCATGTGCATCCTTTGCGTGACGTCACTCACACACACGTCGACGTCGTCCATGCCGTGGGCGGACGTGGGGATACAAATTGGTGTTGATCCACAGTGGCCGTCGTCCATCAACATGCTGCACGGGTCAGACATATTGACACATGGCCGCTTAACGCCACTACCGCACTTGTTGGCAAGGCAATCACTATCGATGTCGCAAGGATATGATGAATATGTTACAGCGGGACACTTTCTAGGAGGTTATTTCTGTGCAATCTATCTTCTTTATGCACTTTATCAGCCATGCTATTATGGGCCTCATCAAATTCATCCATATTGGCCTTGTCATTAGATGTTCTGGCCCCTAGTTCTTGAATATCTTGTTTTAACTCCTTTAGGACTTTATACAGCTTCCCAATTATTTTGTTGACCATAGTTTGTAGTATTTCTTTGATTAAAGGGAGTCTGTCTCAGACTGCTACTCACTCACAGAGACATCAGCCTCATCTTGTGCTACTTCGTTCCACATCTGGAAAAACCCTGCTTGGAAGTATAGATTGTTTTACTGCTTCCCATGTACTTTGTATCATAATTTTGGTTAGTAGATCTTTTACCTTTTTTCCATTATGATTGGTGTATTTTGGAACATACGTATAGATAATTCCAGGATGTGTTAAAATGAACTATTTTATGACTACTGATCATTAGAGATGTCGCGAACCATCCGCAAACTTCTCACGAACAGTTCGCCACGAACCGTTCGTGGCGAACTCCGGTCAGCTGACACATCCCGGCCAATCTCCGGCAGACCCTCCCTCTCAGACCCTCCTACTTCCTGGACAGCATCCATGTTGAAGGCAGCTTCAACATGGATGCTGTCCAGGAGGTGGGAGGGTCTGGGAGGGAGGATCTGCCGGAGATTGGCCAGGATGTGTCAGCTGACCAGAGTTCACCGTGGCGAACCGTTCGCGAGAAGTTTGCGGATGGTTCGCGACATCTCTACTGATCATCAATTGAAAAATTGTATTTCCTTATATAAATAGGTACTGATGAATTATGTATTATGCTGTGATGCATTATGTCTCAGGTATGCTGTCTATTCATTTTTATGTAGTATTTATTTATTGATAAATTTTGCATGTGCATAGTAAGGGGCATCTCTAACTTTATATTTGTGTCATTGGTATCTATTATGGTATTTTTTTTAATGTTATAGCGTACCAAATGATTTATGTAAATTAAGAGTATATATTTGGTTTCCAAGCAACATGCTGTACCTGCTAGTTCTTATTGAACGGTAGGCGGACTCATGTATAATTACGCGGACGCCTCCATACACATTTGATGTTGCTTGGCAATGTACTGGTGAGGTTTTATTGTCAGTGAGATGAATCCCATGGACAATGTGATCATTTTAATTAATTTTATCTGTGTCTGCACTGATTGCTTAATTGTTTGCGCTGGTCATTTGGTAAAGACAAGACTGCATTGTTGTTGTGTCCTTGTCTGTATTCTGCATTACAATTAAAGACTTATGAGTCCTAACTGCTGTACATGGATCCATTATTTTCTTTCTACTTTGACAAGGGTATGGCCATCCTAGGTCCATTTTTGCACAAGTAGGATTTCTATGTTTGTCAACTGGAAGTGTGCGGACCCTAAACCATGAATTGTTGTCTGATTATATTGTGATATGTCTTGGTATTCGATAAAGTGACTCATGATATCCTGAGTCATTTATACTTTATGTCCGTTACTTTCATGTCCTTAAAAATATTCTGTTAAAAGAGTCACTTCATGCACTATACTCTCAGCTTACTGTACTGGCTATCATGGGAAGATTGTTCGTTGCGGCCTTTTTTTTTTAAGTATTATCCTTTATTGAAGTTTTCAACAGAACACATTGACAATAAAACTGTGGGGCAGTAGCATAGTAACTACAATGGTTACTTGTGAACACAATGCACTTATGTTGTTACAATATGAATATTTTGTGTATATCCCTTTTATAGCCTCACAATGGGAACAAAAATGTTTTTTTTGTTTTTTTTACAGAAATTGGGTTTTGTGGGAAGTAGAGTGGGGAGCCAGGGAGGGGAAGGACAGCATGGCTCCCAGGCTTCACGGTTCCCGATCAACTAGAGTTTTGTAGTGTTCATCTCAGCATGACCAGATCTGAGGGAGTGGCTGTGGACTTGCCATATTAAGGACTTGTGCAGCATAGCCAATGTCTCGGGAGGCCATTTCCAGGAGGTACACTTGGGGGTTCAAGAGACAAGTTCACCCCTAAGGTCTTATGGAGGAGGGACTGGATTTATGACTAGAAGCATTTTTAAAACTCCCTAAATATATGAATCATGGATCCTTTTTCCACCTTGTAGCACCAGCAAGTTTCAGAGGTGGTTGTGTAAATGCTTCATTTTAGGCATTGTGGGGTCAGATACCACTGAAACCATAGTTTCCAACTGGTTTCCCAGTAGGACATGCATTTAGACACTCCTCTAATAGTGGTCAAAGCCCTATCCCAGTCTTGTATGAATAATATTCATTTGCATAAACCTTATTTAGGTTCAAAGACAGCAATGTTTGGAAGCAGGCAGATAGAGTTTTCATGTTGCCTATACACAGTTTGTAGAATAATGAGATTATAGGATTGTCGGGTGATTCGGAGGTATTTAAAAAATTGTTTACTGGGTAGCAGGAACTGGGTACATAAGTCTTGGAAGGGGAGTGTTGGTGATCACTGTTGTTAAACCGGAGTGCAGCCAGGGCCTCAAGTCTAGATTCGATGTGATAAGTTCTAAATTTTTTAACACCCATGATCTCCAAGTCTGTTGAGGCACCTGCTTTCTTCAACAGAGGAGCTATATTCATATGCCGAGGGGACTAGAGGTCTAACCGATACTCCACAGGGGTAAAGTTACAGGTTTGCAGTAGCTGTAAGCCCACCTGGGGTGTGTTGACAACTGTAGGGGCTCTGTTTCCCTAGATCATTAGTTAAGTGCAATATCCCCACTGGCAATTGATGGCATTCTTGCGGCGATGAGTGTTAACCTTTGCAAATTCTTGGTTTTCGACATGGTGGCGGATAATAAGTCCACACACAGTGAAAGGCTTACACAGGGTTCCAGCATCAAGGACATTTTCTGTGCGGCTTACATTAAGGCTTCTTTGGCCTTCATGTAGGTGCACCACTACATTTGTGAAGGTGTCGTCTGTGATGTTCCTATACTTGGGAAGGAGATGGGCCCTATCAATGAGCCAGTCACTGTTTGGCATTGCAGGCAGTAAGGCTTTTAAGAGTGAGGTCAGGTAATTTTGTAAGTAAGATTGGGAGATCAACTCTGGTGTATTGTTGATGTTATGATGACAATACCTGTCTTCAACATCTGTCAGTTTAGAGAGCATCTTATAGTGCTCCGAGGTCAGGTACATCTTGTTATGAGCAGTGTGCAACTTATCTAATGTGGTTTCTATGTGATCAGTCCTCTTCCCAGGATTTAGATGTCTCTGTAGAGAGCCGCCATGATCGTGTGGAAATTTGCCAATACAGTTGAATGGAGTTCCTGTACCATAGCGTGGATCTTCTTTTCGGAGGCTGGAGAGGTCTCCCATAGCTGCACCATGAGCTCAGATTCAAATGCAGTGTCTGATGAAGGTGACTGTACCTCATGGTATGCTCAATCATGACCCATGTGGTATTCCTCCTTTCGTAATGCTCCGGGCGTTGTCTGCATCTTGGATGTTGTAGTTTGCTTGGAGGAAGACATCTCATTAGTGGTTGTGGGTATGAGATGCTAAATTAGGCAGGCTGGTGAAAAGTAGCTGAGGCATATTTGTCTGCGGAAGCTCTCAGCACATGCATTGCTCTCCATGCAGGTCAGGACACGCTACCTTCGGCCTTCATTTTTAAAAATATTTTATTCCAGGGATAAGTGCCATTTTTGTGTTTAGAAAAAAGGGAATTGGGACCTCCTGGAACATGCATTTCTAAGCAGTGGTGCTGATGTAAAGATCAAAATATATACAATATACAAATTAAGGAACCAAGCACACAACAAATAAATAAAAAAATACAGGTTTAAATTGTACAAGGCTATTTCCTGGCTAATCGTGGCAGCATTTAACATATGGGTGGCTCCTCCCTCCAGCCAATAGAACAGGAATACCAATTAAAGACTTCAATTATTCCTGAGGCATAAGAGATCCCAGAATGCTAGGTTCATCAGTCTTTTTTTCCTGTCCTCCTAGCCAGACAGGACAGTTTGTATTTATTACAATTATTTTTTTTTTTATGCTCACCTGGCTATGTATTTCAGCCTATTACTCCCTAACAGGTCAGCCTCCCTCTATAGGAAGACAAGGCACATGCAACCCACCTCTTGGTAGCTGGGGACCCCTGGTAGCCAGTGGAGTTAGTGTTTCCTCCGGCATTCTATTGAAAGCTGCTGCTATGCCTGACCCTGCAGGTGAAAACTTCATATTCTGGCGCCAGATTTCCAGTTCCGAGGTTCAGGACGCCCACACATGCGCAGAGGTAAGAGGTCGCGAGTAGCCCTTTCTTTGCCACTAACAAAAATGGCGGCTCCGGGCGCTCGCGGCAAATCGCGCATGCGCGATTAAAGGAACAGCTCGCCTTTTTTATTTAAAGGGGAAAAAGTGAGGTTTTTTTGCCGCAAAATTCAAATCCTTCAAGGAGGTGCAATTGGCTCTCTGGGAAACAAGCCCTCTCACTCTGCAGGTATTCATTTATTTTTTAATTTCCTTTTATAATATAATTTTGTATACTTTGAGGTTTTTTCTGTTAAAACATTTTGTTTTTTAGAGCCCTTGACTCTAAAGAGAAACAATTTTTCATTTTTTCCTTTCAGCCTTAAAAAATTGTGTTTTTTCAAGGTTGGATCATTCTCCCACCTTAGCTAAGTCAGCGACTATAGGTCATAAGTGAGCATTAATTTTTGTAATTTCCACATCATTGTCCAATTAAAAAGAGTGCACTAGAGGGTACAGTCTCTTGACTTCTGCAATTTCAGCCCTCAAGGACAGGCCCTAAATCTCCTTCCAGGAGAAGGGATAAACCGGCAGCCTGCATTGGATGTGGATACAGACCCTTGGACAACTGCAGGCTGTGTAAAAAATGTCTTACTAGAGTTGCAGGAGAATCTGAATTCCAGCAGCATCCACAAGCATCCACCTCAGCCCAGGATATAGCCTCGTGGATTAAGCAGGCTGTGGCAGAAGGTATTGCTGAATCACAAAAAGGCAAACGTCCCAGATGTGAATATCCCCAGGTGAATGTTGATTCTTCAGATGAAGATTTCGGACAGGATTCTGGTTCATTTGACATTGAACACATGTCTTCTAGCGATGCTCACTTGACTCTAAAGCAATAGAGCGTTTGATCTCTCTGGTGAGAAGAACACTGGAATTGCCTGATGAGGTGTTAGAAACCTCAGCAGCGGACAAACACTTTGGGGATCTCAGTAAAAGAAAACCTTCTTTTCCGGTACACAAGTCCATTAAGGATCTCATAAGTAATGAATGGAAGACTCCAGAAAAGAGACTTTCACTGCAAAACCGTCTGCCTAAGTTATAACCCATTCATGAGGAGGACTCCAGACTTTGGACTTCCAACCCGAAGGTTGATGCCTCAGTTATCAAGGTGGCCAAACGCTCTATCTTCCCAATAGACTGCAATGCTTCCCTGAGAGATCCTATGGAGAAAAGAATAGATGCTGACATTTCTAAATGTTTTTTGGCAGCTGGTACTGGATGTCACCCAGCTGTTTCTGTTTCGGCTATGTCCAGAGCAATGAGAGTATGGATCCTGGACATAGAAGAAGATTTGGACGAGGGTGTCAAAAGGCAACATATTGCAGATTCCCTAAGGGAGATCAGACTGGCCTGTGAATAGCTCTTAAAAGCCTCTACGGATATAATTAAGGTTATGTCTAAGGTTATGGCTTTCTCAGTTGCAGCCAGACGTGCCTTATGGCTCAGATCATGGGGGGCTGATATGGCCCCTTCCTTTTTCGAGAGAAGTATTGTTTGGGAAACCCCTTGAAGATGCCAGTAAAAGAGCTCTGGATGTCTGCAGGATAGACGTCCAAGAAGACCTCCACTAGAACGTCGTTCTTATAGAGAACACCCTTCTTATAGAGATAGTAAGGCTTATAGGCCAGGCCGTGAATACTACAGACCTACCTCATGGAGAAGTGGTCAAACCAGCAAGTCCACCAGAGGTCCTTCCAAGCAGTTCTGAAGGTTACTACACCCAAACACCTTTGGTAGGAGGAAGACTTATGCATTTCCAAAGGGTTTGAGCAGAGATCTCAGACAATTGGGTGAGATCTATAATTACGGAGGGCTACTCTCTAGAATTTATGGACATTCCCCGAGCAAGATTCATAAGGACCAGTGTTCCCTTGGATTCGATAAAAAGAGACGCTTTGATCCAGTACACTGGAGATCTTCTACAACAATGGGTGATTGTTCCTGTTCCAGAAAATCAAAGGTTTCAGGGTTTCTATTCCCCTCTATTCCTGGTCAAGAAACCCGGAGGAAAGTGGAGACCCATTCTGGATTTACATCAACTCAATATCCACTTGAGAATAAAAAAATTCAGGATGGAATCTCTTCGCTCTAACATACCAGCAGTTCACCAAGGAGATTGGCTAATCTCAGTAGATCTGAAAGACGCCTACTTCCATGTCCCAATAGCCCTTCATCACCAGAGGTTCCTCAGATTCTGTGTAAACAATCAACATTTCCAGTTCCAGCCTTTACCGTTTGGAATCAGTACAGCACCAAGGACCTTCTCAAAGATACTGGTGACGGTTATTGCATTGCTCAGAAGGAAGGGAATAACAATATTCCATTACCTAGACGATATCCTGGTAGTTGCTCAAACATACAAGGGTTTACTGAATCATCGACTGATGGTACTCCAGACACTAGAACGCTTTGGCTGGTTAATCAACTACCAGAAGAGTCAACTTCTGCCTGCCAGAAGGCTGGTGTTCCTGGGAGCAAAATTCGACACAGTGTCTAAAAATATGGCCACGCATTCGAGAATTTCAAATCGAAAAAACGACTACAGCAAGAGTATGAAGATCATAGGTTCCCTTTCCTCCACAATTGGCCTAGTGAGATGGGCTCAGTGGAACCTCCGCCCTTTACAAGTATACTTCCTGCAGACGTTCGACTCGGCCTCCCAGAAATTGGAGATGAAGATGTCCATTCTGAATCATATAAAAAGATCCCTCAACTGGTGGCTTTCCTGGGAAAACCTATCCAAAGGTTTCCCTCTGAAGGAGGTGGACTGGATGATAATCACCACGGATGCCAGTCAAGATGGTTGGGGTGCACATCTAAAAGACCATTTTGTCCAGGAACTATGGCCCCTGCACACAAGACATCTTCCTTCCAATATAAGGGAACTAAGAGCTTCCTTTCTAGCTCTTCTACATTTCAAAGATCTCATTCAGCATCAATGGGTGAAGCTGAGAATAGACAACAGTGCAGCAGTAGCATACATCAACCATCAGGGTGGTACCAGGAGTGGTGCACTGAAGAATGAAATCAAGCCAATCATGATTTGGGCGAAGAGGAATCTAGCCAGTCTCTCAGCCTTATACCTTCCTGGGAAGGAGAATACGATTGCAGATTTCCTGATCAGACATCAAGTGAAAGAGACGGAGTGGAAGCTATCCAGTTTGATCTTCCAACAACTGGTAAGGATGTGGGGGCTCCAACAGGTGGATTTAATGGCCACTGCTCAGAATACTTATCTTCCATGCTTCATGTCAAGGAGATTTCACCCACTGGCATATGCTCAAGACGCCCATTTCAGCTGGCATATGTATTCCCTCCGATCAAGCTCATTCCTGCCCTTCTGAAGAAAATCTCCAAGGAACGATGCAGGATAATAGCCATCATCCCATTCTGGCCACTTCGTCCATGGTTTCCCCTCCTGAAAAGTCTGTTGATGGACGATCCATGGGAACTTCCAGTGTTCCGGGATCTTCTGTCTCAGGGACCTCTAGTACACCAAGAACCACACAAACTGCGTCTTCATGCATGGCTCTTGAAAGGCAGGGGTTTCCTGATGAAGTTGTTTCCACCTTGCTACGTTCCAGGAAAACTTCTACCTCTACTACATACTATAAGATATGGGGGGCCTTCGCGGATTGGCATCATATAGATGTGATGAATTTAAAGTCACCTTCTATTTCCCAGGTTTTGGGATTCTTACAGGCTGAGTTGGATAGAGGTTTGAGTCTGAACACACTCAAGGTTCAATGTTCTGCTATCTCTGCCATGTCAGGTATCAGATGGGCTGAAGACCCCATGGTAATCCACTTTATGAAAGCAATTCTTAGAATTAGACCACCGATCCGGGTCTACAAGTGTCCCTGGGATCTACCTTTGGTCTTACAGGCCTTGATGGAGCAGCCTTTCGAACCATTGGACGATATCCCTATGTTATCCCTGACGCAAAAAACTCTACTTCTATTAGCCTTAGTTTCAGCCAGAAGGAGGTAGAAGAACCTTATACTACTTTCTACCATAACAGGGTAATTCTCCGTCCCAGACCAGAATTTCTACCTAAGGTG